ACAAAATGTTTATCCATATTACTCGGACGATATAGAAATCTTTTACACTTACGAAAACAATATCATTATATGGAGAACATCATTTGTAAATTATGATCATGAACACGTATGAAATCAAATACAATATTACATCATGATCAATTAATGAGATTTTTTAGATTTGTAACTCCCAATTAATTATTTGGGAGTTACATAAATGTCAAATTACCTAATTACCCTTGTATTTAATATATGAATTACATTTGAACATAAAGAAAATGTGGAATATGAGTGGTTGATCTTGGTTAGCATAGTTACATAAATTTCTTGGTTAGTATTTGAACCAAACTATATATATATATATATATATATATATAGAGAGAGAGAGAGAGAGAGAGAGAGTGAATGAATGTGGGGTGTGCACTTCATAGTGGTTATGAAAGGAGAGTGGCATCCTTGGTGGGGGGAAAATCAATAGCCAAAGAGAACCAAAGAAAAAGAAAAATAAGAGGAATTAAGATATTAGTTTACCTCTTATTTATTCATACGCTGTTAAGTGATAAGTTTTGAAAATAATAAAAAAAACAAACAGTCTGAATTACAAAACATCTGAATGAATCAGATATAAGTGGTAACTAGAGCTGAAAATGAAAAAAACAAATAAGGCCTAAGATTAAAGTCTTATTTCACTATAATTAATAAAAAATGGTATCAGAGTCTAAAAATATAATCAATAAGACTATTTTTTTTAAATTGATAAATAACTAAATATTTGTACATATCTATTTTACCTTTCATATTATAAAATATATTATTACATATAAATTTATAAGATAATTAACAATAAATCTTTAATAAAGTTGGGTTCATGTTAGAATGAGAGTTAAAAGCATCCATAATGCTCAACCCATAAAAAAAATTGAACAAAATAAAAGTATATAAATTTTTTTGGTACCACCATAATACACTTTCTCTTTCTTTGTCTCTCACATCTATTTCTTAAAGACTTGAGAAACCTCGAGTGGTTGATAAAATGAAAAAGCCGTATTTTCAAGTCATTAACTCCAATGGTCAAGTTATCTTCAATTTTTTTTCCAGACAACCATTGGAGATGCTCTAAGGTGAGAAACGTAAGAAGGGATCTCCACCCTTGTTTGTACGTTAGGGTGAGATGCACTAGATAAATCCTCATATCAAACGTGATTCATTGATGAATTTGATATTAATGATGATCAATGGTCCATATCTCTTTTAAACTTCTTACCTTTTAACTATTTTTCTCACATGATTATCCTTTTATCTGTAATAACTATTATTTTTGAACAAACAAAATTGAGAAAGGTCTAAAAAAAACACAATGAACTTTAGTGTTTGAAATAATTAAGTCAATGGACAATTTTTTGGAATAAATAAGTTTTTGGACATTCCAAAACCTGTTAAATAATTTCTTGGACTTTCTAAAATCTGTTAAATACATTCTTATGATCTATAAAACTGATTAATGTGGTAAAATAATAGAAAAAACCTGGAAAAAAAGCCAATGAATTTTCATATTTTGAGCGATTAAGTCCCTAAACATTTTTTGAACCAAAAAAGTACTTACATATATAAAATGAAACAAATATACCAAAAAAGTATTTACATTTAAAAAATATTATTGATAAAATTTATTTTCATTAAAAATAAAAAATATTATATCAATGGTTTTTCAAATTAAAAAAGGATTATTGATTA